GGTGAGCCATTTATTCCTCCTCCCTTCAGTTAACTCCACATGTGTTTATCGGCCAGGTTGGCACAATAAACTAAGTACCTCACCACCCGAGCCCCTGATATCAGCTCTTCATTTTCCCCCTCCCTCTCTGCTCCCCTCTCCCAGCTATATATCTTTTATATACATAGTATATACCACAGTTTTACTTTATGTTATTTAAAGAAGGATCCACCTGTTCTCAGGTTATATTTTTTATTGTTAATTTTATCAAAATCAATGTCACTTCTTAGCCATTAGAACAAATACTACCTTAGGGCATTCATATGCTTATTTTTCTTCTTTCATAAGTTCTTTTCCTGTTACGAAGTCATAATTATGTAATTGTCAGTTTGTTCATTCTTTAAAGCCAGTAATTGTTATATCGTCTGCAGTCATGTGGGTGGGTATCCACGAAGTGAATCAGTACATTTTCATTGCTTTTGCTGCTTTGATATTTCTACGACTGTGCAAAAGCAGTGGGGTAAAACTTTTAAGGGCCTTTGCAGATAGTGTCCCTTGTTTGTAGTGGCTTATGTTAACATGAATGTGGTTTTTTTGCTAAGTGAATAAATGTTTTCAAAATTTCCCAATTTCTTTTTCTAATACAATTACTATCATTAAATATAATTTACACCAAGTAGATCTCCTGTTCTTTAATTGTAAAGGGATGCCAAGAAGTGCTATGTGTATGAGTACATTTTTTTTTTGTGCTGAGTCATTGAAAAAGGAAACAATATAATTCCCTTAACAGAAATATTCAAGTTTATCTTCAAGTCATATATGAAGTTTAAGTAATACATTTTTGATTCTTTGACATAAAATTTTGTTTATATCTCTATTATATTTATAAATAAAATACTTTGCAGGTGCTGACCTTAAGGAAAGGGTCAAGATGCATTCCAGTGAAGTTGGTCCTTTTGTCTCCAAAGCAAGAGCAGTGATTAATGAAATAGGTAAGCACAACTGAACTTCCTGCTTCAGCTGGCTACAAGTGACCATGAATGTCATCTTTAATGAGCTACACACCAAAATATTTATATTGTTAGACCAGTGGTTCTCAACCTGGGGGTCGTGACCACTTTGGGGTCAAACGACCCATTCACAGGGGTCGCCTAAGACCATATTTTCAATGATCTTAGGAACCAAGACACCGTGCTCTTTTATCCGTCTCCAGGTGGGTCTGCTCTCCAGGCGGGTCTGCTCACATGCAGATATACCCACATAAGGGGTCACCACAACATGAGGAACTGTATTAAGGTTCGCGGCATTAGGAAGGTTGTGAACCACTGTGTTAGACAATTGTGACATAGAGTTATTTGTTTTAAACCGCACATAATACACTCGTTTTAAGTTTGTGCTTCCTATGCGTGGTGGCATGACACAGGAAGGTATTTCTTAGAAAACAGGATTAATTTGACATAAATCTCTTCTTAAAATACTTGTGTCTCTTAAATAG